TTCTGCAATCTGAGAGTATCAGTGTCACCATCTGCTTCATTGTTAATTTTATTCCCTTCATTCATCATAAGAAGGGAGTTTTGTTTTAAAGATGCATTTGTTACTTTGTAGCCAAAAATACAGACTTATTAAAATGACACTGTGAAAGCACAGGACACTGTGGAGGAGAGGATGAGGAAGATGAAGCGCTTTTTGAAAAACAAAAGTCTAGAGCGCCTAAAATGCCCAAGATTTCTTTATGGAAGTCTTGGTCTAGTAATTTTTGTTGTTAAGATCATTATACATCTTCTAATGATTTCCACTTTTGTTTCTTGATATAGGAACTTATCATGGCTTCATCAAGAAACACAAACATTAGATAATGTCAAACCCCCATCTTCTTGGAACACCCTTGGGTACTCTAGAAAGAGCACGAGCACAGTACAGCACATAACCTCTTAATACAGGCTCAGGCATGGGTTGCAAATATAATTTGTTCCAAGACACCTGAAAGTTGGTGCCTTTGTGAAGAGAGATGTCAATCTGGTGTAAATATTCACAATCCCAGTTAATCAAATTAAAACTCCTAGGTTTTAGAGAACAGCATAGAATTCTTTAGAAAGCTATCACATAGGTAAAGACCAAAAAGAACTGATGCTGGACATCCTGCTCAGGTAGCATGGAACTGGAATCCTCTGCTTTAGAAGGGCAGGAAACACAGCTAGCAAAGGCTTCCAATGCAGCTAGCAATGAAATACCAGACAGCCTCCAGCTTTTGTAGAAGTGATTACATTCAGCTATTGAGTTGGGAAGACACTGCAACCCTCTGAAGATGGAAAGTCAGGCTGTGGTCACCTCAGCTGAGCAGTCTGATCATTCTGCAATCACTCCCTGGTTTGCAGACAATGGGTGAGGAGGAAGACAGACTGCTTGATTCTGTCGAACAGTGCCTTTGGAAGTAAAGCTGCAATTTTCTCTAATTGTTCATTTGGAGTGCTCAGGTCTGCTTTTCATGCCTCCAGAGATAAGAGTTATTCAGTGGTCCTAATGGCTTGACACAGTCTTGCATGTGGATGCTGGGAGACAGTACCCCTCAGTGCAATGCTCCAAGAGCCAGGTGCCTATTCTGGGCTGTAATTCCTGGCCCTGCCTATTTTCAAGAGAGCACAAGTTGTATCTGTACTTGTTGTAAACTGAACTTAGATTGCATCAGTCTATTAATCTTATCAGGCTTAAGCATGTATTATCCACCACTCAAGACCCTGACTGGTGCAAATTATGAGGTCTTTTTCTCAGAATATAATTCATGTGCAGAGTCCTATGGACAGCAGCATAATTCCTACACACCTTCGTGGATCCACCTCCTGTCTGTCAGCTATGATTATGGATATACTAAATTCAGCGAAGCTTTTTCCACTCAGTTGTGTGTGAAAATCTGCCATTTAAGGCCTGCTTCACCTAACGGAGTCTGGCAGCCTGGCACCATGCAGAAGATGCCCTTTTGCTCCATAGCTCTATCTCCCCTGAAATTAAAGTTAAAATGTGGTGAGAGATGCAAACCTTAGGGCAGAACTATGTGTGTACCCACAATATCTCTGAGAAGATAAAATACTGTTTATTCTTTAAGATGTATCCTCTAAGTGAGCCTTGAAAATTATTAGCTTAGAGACGGTTATCAATGAACAAAATGTTTTCTGTCACTTCAAAGCATGCTGACTGTGGTCCACAGGATCAAGGTTTTGGAGACATGCAGATAGTCTGACTTCAGCTGTTCACAGTTGCTGGATTCCCCTGTCAGTGTAGAGTTTTGTAACATTCTATTGAGATTAGATCATCTGTATAGTCAGCAATGCTCTTGTCATTGTGTTTAGGTGGAACAAAATCAGTTGGAAATAACCCTCATGTCATGCATTGATTCTCCACCTTTGCTTTGCTATATGCTTGAAGTTCCAGTTTTGGTGTCTGTCTTCAGAATCTAACAAACCTAAAGCTTGACCAGCAGAGGCTCAAAAAAAGGTCTTCTTTTTTCCCAACAAATCAAATAAGTTTTTAGATTTTCTGTCTCTCTGACTTTGGCTTCCTGGTCTGAATAATTATTAACTTTGGATAATGCCACGCGAAAGAAATGAAACAGAACATGAAGAGTGAGTGGTTTGTGTGTAAAACTAAACAGTTGCAATGTAAATATTTTGTCAGGGGTTTATGCTGCAGTTGGATGTGAAACTACAAAATGGCTCTTCATCTCCACAAATTCCAGGTAAGCAAGTTTTAAATATCCTTCTAGGTTGTGGCCAAACATGGTTGGTCTGTAAATCCTACCAATGGGAAGGGCATTTCTTCTTTTTTAGATCTAGAGCTGGTCTGGTTTGAACTGAAGTCTGGAAAAGTTGTGGAATCCTGATAGCCAAACATGCATTTTGTAATCAATATCCTACTGCGCTGTTTCATAGGGGCTTTCAGTGAAGAATTAAATGCATTCTCTCCTAAGGGTCCAAAATAACCTTTTCTCCAAAGAGGAAGGCCAAAGGCAAACTTCCTGATCTCTTTGAGAGATGCAGTTCTGTACTTGTGAAAAAAATCTCGTTATATGATCCAGCCAATCACCTGGTCTTCATAGTTTGATCCACAGGGTCCAATACATAATGAGAAGTAACTTATAAAACATTTATTTGTCCCTAATGATTATTATTTGCCTGTTAGAGATTCAGTTTTGGTGTGGAAATGGCATTGGTAATACAGATCAGAAAAAAAGCTCATCACTGGTTGAAGGTCAAGCATCCATAAATTGTACCCTTAGACTTGCTTGGTGCTTTCAGTGCCACAACTCACAGAGGGCAGTTGACTTGTCTGAAGACTCTTGGACTATCAGGTGGATGGATTTTGTGTAACTTTGAGGGTTTCTTTCAGCTAGGAAGAAAACTATGGTGTTTGTGGGCAGCTGCATCTGCCCTGCTGTCCTAGCACAGAACATGGGTATGTTTTTGGTTGGAGGCTGCTGGAATGGTTATTGAGGTGTAGAAAGTGATCTTTTCAATGTTGAGTTGATACTCCTCTCTCTTTGAACCTAATACAAAGAATGCTACAGACAAATTCTGGGAGAATGGTGTGGATGAGGGGGAAAAAGATAGAAATTTGAAACAGTACGGAACTAAAGATGATAATTTGGGAAATTTATCAAAGAAAACCGAAGAACAGTGTCAATTCTGCTCTTAGGCTATCCAGCTTAGTTTTGTAAAATCCCGGTTAGAACAGACTATATTTTGTCTGTTTAAAGTATGTTTGTTCATGTGGATTCACTGTTATGTTAAGTGTCTGTACTTTGACTTTTTTTGCATTAGTGTTGCAAGTCACTGTTAATCAGGGATGGCAGTAGGCAATGTTTTTGTATGCTTCATTTGAATTTTTTTTTAATATTAGCTACTTTAAGTACTTACTAAAAAATATTATCAATCGATTTTAATATAATCATACATATTTTTCGTTTATCTAAACATTACCTCTCCTATGAGGAAAGGCTGAGAAAGTTGGGATTGTTCATCCTGGAGAAGACTCCAAGGTGATCTAATAGTGGCCTTCCAGTAAGTAAAAGGGAGCTGACAAGTGAGCTGGAGAGGGACTGTGGGGGTGGCAAGGTGATGGAACTGGTTGCCCAGAGAAGTTGTGGATGCTCCATCCCTGGAAGTGTTCAAGGCCAGACTTAATGGGACTTGGGGCAACCTGGTCTAGTGGAAGGTGTCCCTTGACAGGGTGAGGGTTGGACCTAGATGATCTTTAAGATCCCTTCCAACTCAAATAATTCTGTGATTCTATCATTAATACATGTTTATCATCTTCTGGAAACCAATATTAAAACAAATCCAACCATTGCTGAGGGCCTTTGACCAAATTAAATAGTTAATGTAGGAACTGAGGAATACAGACTGGAAGAGTATTCATTATTCAGTATTCAGGTTCAAAATACTTATGATGCACCAGGATATTTGTGTACTGAAATCAGGATTCCTAAAAATGCTGCAGCAGTTCCAGAATAAAGTGCATTTGCCAAAACCTTGCCTCAGTGGAATTAAGAAGTACCTGTACTTTTAAATATTGAATGCTGTAAGCAGGAAGCACCAGGCAGCATACCTACATCAGTCACATTTTAAATTGCTAGCACAAGTCCTATACATAATGATCTCCAAAGACAGCATGCTGGGAGACTGTTGCTTTCAAGAATAATGACATTGTTTTGCAAACTGACTATATGTCTCTGAAGGTCTCCCCTGGAAAGTGGAATCATTGTCATTACATAGGAAAAGCTGCCAGGCAACTTCTGTGAGTTCTCAAGAGAGTGCTACTGAAATTCTATCTTGCTTTGAATAACTTTTTGCATTCACCTTTTAAAAGAACCTTCTATCTGAGTATCTAAAGCCAGCAGATCAACAGATAAGGCTCTAGGCCCTCTCTCTGTATTAGAAAGATTGAAGTGGAAAGAGGTTAAATTGCACCTGAGTGACAATTTAACACGGCTTATGCTGACTGGCTTACTGTAGGAACTGCAACCCCATGGAAACTGGAACTCACAAGCAATTTTTGGATGAGCAGTGTAACGGAGCCTTGTGTTTCTTACCAGAAAAGATTTGAAGTTTGTTGGCTTTGTTTGTTTTGCATATAGGAAAAGAAATAGCGAGGGGGGGGGTGGAGGAGGCTGTTTAGGAAGAGTGAGGAAAAAGAATTGAACAGAATCTATGACTTTGAGCATTGTGTGAAGTAATCTTGTTTATTACATGCCCTGTAAAAAGGTATTTATGGGCTTGCTACTGCAAGCGATTGTAAAGGAGCCTCTATGCTCTCAAAGAACCAAACCTGTGATCTGAGACCACCAGAATTCAAACCTCTTTTAAGAAAGCCTTGTTGACTCTTGAATGCGAGCACTATGACTTGCCAACATTATGACTGTAAGAAAGCCTAGAGCACGTGGCCAAAGAAAAGGAGGAGCTGCTGAAAAGGCATCTCTGTAGTCATTGGCTCTGGCATTACAATTATTTGGTGGAGGTTTTTACATGTAGATCTTTTGATTCATTCATTGAACAATTACTGGACTTGGCAACCACCTCTGAGACAAACCTGAAACCGAGAGAAGTTGTGTCATTGAACTCAATGCATTCTTGGCTTCTCTTTCTTACACTGGCTGGAGCTGAAGAAGTTTTCTTTGGGACAATCCTCGTCGAGTGGATTGGGATGATGGAATGAGTATATAAAGAAGCTGGGATTCGGTGACTTAGAGCTCCTCGGGACTCAGCAATTCCCTGGTATTCCTGCTGTCACGGCAGAAGGGGGCCGAGCGTTTGGGAGCTTGGCTTTGTCCGGGGGGCCGCGAGGGGCTGGGGCTGTGCTGGAAGTCCTGCCCGAGCCGTTCTTTCCCCCGGCTC